AATCTATTAAATATATTAAATGATTATAATGTACAAAATATGATAACACATAATTATAAGGTGACAAAAGTAAAATATGTATTTTCAGCTTAGTTCAACTTCTTACAACAAAGTTACATGAAGAAGTAATTTTGATGAAGATTCATAATTAAAACCTACATCTAACATACATTTAACACAAGGAACAAATGTCTTAAGAGGTAAATTAATTAAAGATCTTAATCTGTAGAAAGACCACACATATGGACAGATCTTAGGCATTCCTTGCTTATTTCCCAGCCATGTTGAATGCTACAGTTTTTCAGAAGTGTAGCTCTGGAGGGTAGCTAAGTCAACACCCATTCTACATCATCTTCTGTTTGTTAGGAAAGCATAATTAATATTCACCATCCTAGTGGCCCTGGCAGCTGGGGATGGCTATGCGGTTCAGTGAGGCAGAAGTGGGAGCACTGTGAGGGTGCTTCTCAGGAAGCTTCAGTTCTTCCTAAGGGACTGTCACTGCCCATGCTGCTTTCTTTATAAGGGACAGTCAAAAAGAGGCACTGCCCACACTGCCTTCTGATTATAGCGCAGACCTAATGCCTGAGGTCAGAGCTATCATCTATTAAAAGACAACAAATAAGAGGACCAAAACCCAGTGGCCAGGGACAGACAGACAGGAAGACAAGTAGACTTGGGTCCATAATGGCTTCACTAATCTGCTGAAATAACTGAGACCTCCTTCCTCTATCTAGACTTGTTTAAAAAAAACAAAAACAAAAAACCCTTCTGCCTGCTTAAGCCACTGTTAGTTTTCTGTTATATACAGCTAGAAGCATTCCTAAGAAATATATTTTTAACATCCTCCACCCAAACCCTTGACTCTAAACTCTTCAGCCTGAACATTCAACATAACTTGAGTCTACTCTACGTTTCTAGAGTGTCCTGATAGCTCCTTGTCCATAGTTAGCAATTTCCCACCTCTGACTTCTTAGAACACTCACCCTGATCACAGGGTATGCGTGTACACACGCACCCTTTGACATGTGTACAAAATCTACTTCTTTTCTCATTCTCTTGTCATTCACCTCTTTCACAAATCCTTTCCTGGTCCTCTTCTGCAAGCATCTTCTAAGCAAGAGTTCCCTTCTGTAAATTCCTAACAGGATTTTACTGTGCTATTTAATGGCACTTATCACTTTGTATCTTCTATTATCATTACTTATGTATTTAATATGTCCCACTAGACTAAGATTGAGTGTCATGTTTATCTCTAGACTTCCATACTATAAAAGTGTCTGGAGCATAATAAATGTATAAAACGGCTAGGTGTGGTGACACAAGCCTATAGTCCCAGCAGTCAAGGGGTTGTTACAGGAGGAAGACAAGTTCAATGTCAGCCTGGGCTACATACCAAGGCAGAGGCTGGCCTGGACGACACAGTGAGACCTTATCTCAAATAAATAAATGAATGAATAAAACATAGAACAAATGAATAAGTGACCTTTATTTCCTTAAATTAGCATGGATATAAATTGGAATTTTAGGGAATCCAAAGTACTTGTACAAGACTCACACAGTGGTTAACACTCAGAGAAGAAACCTGAGGCAGAGGAAGGTGCGTGAACTGCTCAAGGCCTCACTCTCGCCTGCTAACCACAGAGCCCGGCGGCAGCCAGCCAGCCTGGATTTAGCTTTCACCCTCTTAACCAGTTCACACCCCTGCCATGCTAGTCGGAATGCAGGGAAGGTGTACTTCAGCCTCCTCGGTTGTATGGGAGAGAACATCTCCGAAAGGGGTCCAAGAAAGCTGTTAGAAACACACCTGGAACAGGAACCCAAAATGTGTGGAGAAGATGGATTTAGGTGAAAAAGAAAAACTGACCTCCCAAAGCCAATAAAACACCCCCAAATTTTATATCCTTACACTAAAAGAAGTTCAAATGTAGAAAAAGTGTAAATGAAAAGTTGGAAATATTACTTTATATAATAACTTGTCTTTAGTAAGTGTCAAGTATAAATTACTAATCCAACCACATTATACAAAAATTCTAGGACTTTCTTGTTTGTTTTACATTAATAAATAGATTGGGTAAGACACACTGAGTTGAACTTTCTCTTGACCTTAAAGTATAAATATTAGACATATGTCTTACAGTATTTGTAAGCTTTGTAGAAGCAAAGTGCTTTCTAATTTTCAAGTTTCTCTTCTGAAAAATATTAGGTGAAAGTATCACAGCATTTACCAAAGCAAAAAAACAAAAACAAAAAAATAAAACAAAACAGAAAAACAGGTAAGATACAGTGGTACCTTGGGTCATGAACTTATTTGCTCTGCGGTTTTGGAAAAGATGGCCATGTTTGTGTTTGTCACCCTTTGCAGAATTTGCAAATGGAAGCAAAATTTTGCCAAATACTTCTGTTTGCGAACCAAATTGTCTGCAAACAAAAGCATTTGTGAACCAAGATATTTTAAAACAGACTACGTAAACTAAAAGGAAACTAAAAAATTTAGGTTGACTACAATATCTAAAGAGGCTCTCAATGTTTATAGTAATCGCTTTAAGTGGGATCCTACTTATATAAAACATATAAAGATAAAGATACCAGTGTGAATTTGTGCAGTTATGTAGACATGTTAAGTGTCTCGCCTGAAATGAAAGTGAAACCCAACACTGCTTTCCTCTATATTTCACTTCATCTTAGAAGTTACAAAGAATTTGCTCCAAACTGAAAAGCATGTTCTTTTTGTCCATGTGTGCTACAAAGCCTCTTGTAGTGTTGTTCTAAGAGACTGATTCACATTTTCCCAAATAGGCTATAGCCAAAATGGTCTTTCATGGAAAAAAAAATTGCGTATGAGCAGGGTTAATTCAACTTTATGATGCTATATAACTCACATTCGGTGAACCAAGCTTCATAAACAACACTAACATTTAATATAGACAGTGCCCTCTGATACTTCTTCTATCCTTAAAAAAAGAAAATCTTCACCGCAATTTACTACATAGATTACTTGACTCAACAGGGATCCATGGTGGAGCCTAGTTTAAAAACATCTGTTTACACCTAAGTCTCATCCACACTCGAGGGCATTTTCTCCAGAAGACAATTTGTACTCACAGTGACAAAAACAAAAAGCAGCAATGTTGCCTGCTGTTTTACAGTTGCCAATAAAGAAAGCAGGGCTGGGCTCGGAACCTGTGTCTTAGGAGGCAGCAGACTTAGTGGATGTTGCTACCATTCAGTTGTGCTCCCACTGGATGGATGGCGGAAGGGGTCAGACAGTTGCTGCCCTACTGGAAGCAATCTTCCTGTGTTTGTGTCTGGCCGTGGGTTACAGTCAATCCCTCTGTGTCCTCCCATCTGCACTGCTCAGAAGGCTGAGGTGGGGAAAGGCACAGTGTGCTGGCCTTGTCCTTCCTGTCTCTGCACGTCTACCTTTCCCCCTCATGGCTGTCACTGGAAGAAGATGGTGGGCTTTAAAAAGCAAATACAGGCTGGGGATTTAGCTCAGTGGTTTTGCCACCTGCTGCACAAGCGCAAGGACCCGAGTTCGATCCCTGGTACCAAAAAAAAAAAGCAAAAAAAAAAAAAAGCAAATACAAGTGTTTTCAGATATAAGAAGAGGTATCATCTTTTATTTTCTCTCAAGCCTGTCCCCTTGGTTCCCATCCCTAGGCAAAATCTTGGACACACCCCTGTGTATCAAGTGTAGCCGCTGCAGGCTGGGGAGCAAGCAGTGCTGTGGGCAGCCCCCTGGACCTTGTCTCTGTCACTCACCAGTCCCTCAGGCTCCCCGGGGAAGCAGCAAGGCGGTCACAACCAAGCATGCTCAATGATCCCCAGGCCATCATCCCCTTGTCACTCTGCTCCCTCTCCAGCCTATGCCTGCTCCCTCACCAGTGTTCCTGACCTCACCCGAGTACAGGACTCCCAAAAGCTTCAGCAGGTGGTGCTCACCAAGAGCCTATGGAAAGCAAGGTTTCTGAGGCTCGCTCTGCCCTTGGCTGCCATCCTTCTACCAAAATGATGGGACGGACATTACACCACCAGACCAGCGGGGTCCCTGCTTCCCACTGCTCACCACATTTCCTGTTACTACAGCGTCTGGATGAGCAAACCCACAGAGCTCCTCTGACGGCCACTCTAACAGAAAGCACAATTCTAAGGAAACAGACTCTCTCTCACAAGCTTTACGTTACCATAAAAGTATGAAAATACGTTTCAGGATAACTAGCTGAATTATTTCTTAACTCTAGTAAGAAATCCTGGAATCACTCAGGCTGACCAACTTTAGCAGCGCCCAAAGGTAAAGGAGAGCTTTCCTGTCCTACGTGATGGACTGAGGCTGAGACAGGCAAAGCGGACGAGGTGTGGGAGGTCGGCTTTGCTACTGCTAAGCTTACTCTTTTTTTTGGTACCGGGGATTGAAATCGGGTCCTTGCGCTTGCGCAGCAGGCGGCGAAACCACTGAGCTAAATCCCCGGCCCTGCTAAGCTTACTCTTAATGCCATGCTTTCTGTGACAACAGCTAAACAAATCATCTTTCTCTTTGAAAAGACTGTTCATTCACATTTTTAAATACGAGTGTTTTCTGAGAAACTTAAACCGTAAAAAGATTGAAATAAAAAAAGATTGAAATTAAATAATTTATCATATTAAGTGAAAAAACTACTTCCTCCAATAAAACAAAAAAGGAAAGAAACTGTAAGAGTGCAGAAATGGATAGTAATTCTTTGGAAAAAGTTATCTGGATATGGCACAAATATAAAAAGTTCAGTAAGTAGTAAAGATTTTGATAAAACTTATTATATGCTATCATTGGTTCTTAACGCTAAAAAATGTACCTTCTAAAAATCTTCCTATAAGGGAATTTCTACTCCCCTAACACACTGAATTACTTACCACATTATTTCCAATATTTTAGAAGTGCAACTGATGTTGTTCACGTTTTTTTCATAATTAACACTTTGACATAGCTTTCAAAATAATGTCTAGAAATGAAAAAAAAATAGTACCTTTTCCAGTTCTCTTGGTATTCGCATACAAGTGTACACTCTTTCTCTTCTTTCTGTGTACTTGGCCTCATTATGTTCGAGGAAGTACCCTCTTGTTAGTTCAGCACTGAGGAACCTCAACAATGAAAGCTCTACAGAAAAAAGAAAATGACACAAAACACAAAGAATAGTGTTTATCAAGGAACTCATAGGCTAGCTGGGGCTACAGATGATACACTCATAAAACACAAAGAGATCAAAACAAAGCCATCTGTAATTCTGTGCTTAACAGGTGAACTATTCATTATGGACCAGCAAATATTACCGAGAGAACTGCTACTCTGTGTGGTATAAAAGGAAAACGTCACAGGAATATGGTTGGGAGTGGTTCCGAAGAACTAGAAGAGTCAGAGAAGTCCTGGGTCTTCAAGGTGATATAGGGCCTGGGCTGGTGGAGAGATGGAAAAGGACGAAAGAGCAGCTCCCAAGAACATATCAAGTGGATATGCAGAGTCAGAGGGAGCCCAGTCCCCTGTGGGCATGGCTTCAGGCCAAGAACTATCCTGGGGGAATCACACGCACACCGGGCAACCACTTCCTCCTCAGGTCACCCCAGAAGATCCTGCCAAAGTGGGTTGGCCCTGCCCTCCAGGAAGGCTCTCCAGCGGGACGGTTTCACAACAGGTGCACAAGCAGAACCTCAGCCAGATCTGGCAAACCTTCCTTTCCAAGGATCCTCCCATTCATCCCTGTGTCCTCTGAAGCAAATCCATCCACAGTCTTCTCATCTCAGATGAGGAAAGTAAGGCGCAAGCAGGTTAAATAACTGCTCTCCACTCAGGTATACCTGGAGCTTTGAGGGACAATCAGGTGTGGATGTTGGGCTCCAGATCTCTGCAGTGCGTCATGCCTCCCCGACAGCATATCACCTCTGGCCCCTCAACACCTCTTACTTCACACACACCTTCCCACCCTGACTCCTATGGGGGGGGGCACTCACTCTCCCAGCACTCAGGATGCCAGAAGGTCCCAACTGTTCTCTGTTCTGAGCCAGGCTTGGGGTCTTTCTACCAAACACGTTACTGAAGTTGCTGACACAGGGAAGGCTGACTTCATGTACTTCAAGGAGGTGCATCTTCTATGCATGCTAGGAGCTAAAGTTTCCATGGGAGGGAGGGAGTATCTACAGCCAAAAATATCCTTGAAAGGCTCTTAGAAAGACTTAAACATTAACTGTGGATCTAAACAACAATGGGTCTAACACAGCTTCCTTCCTCCTTAGCTCTTCAAGCATCACGTTAAGGGCCTTGCTTGCAAACCTTTAGGGTTTATGTTCTATGTAAGTGTACCTGCTTTTGTTTTGCAGTACTGGAGACTGAACCCAGGGCCTTGCACATGCTAGGCAACCACTCTATCACTAAGCCACATCCCCAGCCCTTTTTATTTTTTGAGAGAGGGTCTCACTAAGTTGCCCAAGATGGACTCAGACTTCCAATCCTCCTGCCTCAGTCTACCAAGAAGTTGGGATTGCAGGTGTGCACCACCACACCTGGCACACACGTGCTTTCTAAAATATCAGATTTGTAATCTGTTTGGAGAGTTAGTGATACTGAGAGATACCATGGTGTGATACAGAGGGAGAGAAGCGCAGTCTCTCACAATACTCCTCCCAGGTCAGGGAGGGCAGGACCACTGATACACAGTTTTGTTCTTTCTCTTTTCAGCACTGTAACAACTGAAGTTGCACAGGTTAAATGTACACAAGATATAAGCTCTACAGGCTATATAGGCAGATTTCAGATTTAAAGGCCTTAGTAGAGCCTAATCCACAGAGTAAAACTTTTGGCTAAGACCTTTCTAGAACTAAACAAGATCTGCTGCAGAGGAGCAAAAGACTCGTGAGCTGTAAACAAGAACAGCCAAGACTAGTGAGAGATAAAAACTAGGTTCATACTAAGTGCAGTTTCCAACTAGAAAGAAAGTCTGGAACACCTTGCATCTATAAATGTCAATTCAGTCCGTGTAGAAACTGAGAAGTGACAGGACATTAAGAGAGCAGAAGAGATTCTCCACGCACCAATTTTACTGACCCTGGCAAACTCTCACTTCGCCCTGCAGCTCCCCTGTCCCTTGTCTTCTCAGAGGCACTCTTCTCTCTCTCACATGCCCAAGAGTTCTGACCTAAGTCTCTTTGTGGCTCCTCCTCCACCTGACCCTTAGGTGTTTGCTAGTTCAGTGCCCTACTCACTACAGCCTAACAAAACACGAGTTACAGTAAAACAACAGCCATCCTTGAATGCCTGTGTGCTCCAATGTGTCCTGGGTTACAGTTTCTTTGTTTCGCACACATGTTTTCCTTGAACAATGTGAGGTTAAAACCATCATCTAAATCCTGAAGTCACCACATCTTCCCCTGACTCCTGAGCCGTACTTCCAGCTGCTGGGGCAGCCGCACCCTGACATCCCACAGGCACCTCATCACTTGCCAAACTGAGCCAGGACCCTTCCCAGTAATTCTGCCCCCCTCTGGAGTCAGGCTTCAGCTCAGAGTAACAGCAGCAGCATCAGAAGGCTGTGATGCTAGAAGGCCACTGTCAGTTTGATGACTGCCTCTCTCCTCTCACCAAGCCCTTCCTATACGCCACCTGGCTGTGGGCGTGGTTCCATAAAGCCTTCCTAACTACACACCCCTACTCCAACCTTCTCTCCCCGTGACACTAACTTCACCTGGCAGCCAGATCAGGTGTCTCTGCTCAAACTCCAGAGCCCTCGAGTGGCTCTTCTGGTCTCCAAAGTCAGCTCCTCAGGGCTGGTGACCCGAGTCCCTTCAGCTTGGCCCAGGATCATCTTTTCAGCTGCACCTCCCACCTGGATCTCTAGCTCTCTGTTCTCCAGTTACTCTCCCAGTCGCTTGGTTCATGCTCCTCCCTGGCCGGATCCCCTTCCAGCTATCCACAGGTGAATGCGGCTGGACATTACCTTCTTTTAGTTTCCCAGGCAGAATCTATCCTTCCCGAATTCAGCCCCACAGCATTTCTACTTGCCTATGCTTCTCTAGAGCATGACATATTCATTTTCTTGTCTGTTTTTCCTCATTCACCTTTACGTTCTTAGGCTCACATATAATAGGTGCTCAACAAATGCTTGGAAAAGAATATACGGAGCAAGGAAGAATAAAATCAGAGAAGAGTATGGAGGAGAGAGAACAAAAATAGAAGGTAAAAAGCTAAAGATAAGATGGAAAGGGAGAAGAATGATAAAGTATAAAATGGAGTATTCATTTATGGTCCCCTTAAAACAAAGGCAGGCAGCAAAGAAAACTGGTATTTAGGAGAACTGAGGAAGTGACGTAAAAGGAAACTGGATCCCATTTCCAAGTGGATGATTTGTTCCTTCTAATGTCAAAACTTGACATTTCTCTATTTCTCTCTAACACTGTCTTTAAAGATGATCTATATGAACACAAAAAGCAATAATCAAAATGTTCAACATTAGTATAACTGCTAAATAAATTACAATGCATTAATTAAAAAACAGAATAAAAAATCAGAAGTGGCAACAGAAGAGAACACTAGGTTCTCTAGAAGTGAAGAGAACACATGCTGGTGACAGGACAGTCCCGAGGCTGGGGAGTCTGGGAAAGAGGCAAAGGGCCCAGTGCCTCATTCGATGCAGCATGGCCGACGAACCCAAGCCCACCAAGGTCTGGAGCACAGATGCCACGGCATGGACACGGCCACTGAGGCCCCGGGCGTGGGGACAAGGACATCCTAACCGTCCGTCCACAGGAAGTGCAAGCAGAGAAGCTCAGTAGCCCATGTGTGAGTCACCTGGGTTGGAGGCACAGAAACTGGTTACCACACAATAGTTTTAAATTTAAGAAAGCGAATTTACTAAAAAGGCTCAGACGGTTTATCCCGTTCCCTGGGAAAAGTGCCTTTCACAATGGCATGTTTCTTGGGGAGCGCAGAGCTTTTGCCATCATCAGTGTTTTGTTATGGTCCTCAAGGAAAGCATGGCCTGAGCAGTGAGAGGAGGGGCGAGGCTGCCACCCGGGCCACCGCAGAGCTGGGCTGTACAGAGGACAGCTGAGCTTGCAGCAGTTCTCCAACACCCACCCCTGGGGCTTCCACACAGAGCAGCGAGGGACCCAGAGCACTTATATGAAAACCGAAGGGCAGGGCAGCATGCCTTGAACTACTTTTCACTGATTCCACAAGTTCCGTAATATTACCAATTCCAGCCCTGTTAAAGTGGCCTAATGTTTACTACTTCTGCAATCCTGTTTCTAAGGTCGAAGGGCAATGTGACTAGTATATCTAACAAATTATACAATCCCAGTAGCTCGTTTTCTGTAAACAACTAATTATACAACATAAGTAAAAGTGCTTCAACTAAACAAAATAATACTGTTAGGATTCTTCCCCTAGAAATACAATAATTTCAAATATAACCACTAAGTTAGATTCTACACTGGAGAATGTTAAAGCGTGAAACGATAAGAGCATATTTTGAATGCATGCTCTCACAACCGTGAAATCAGGTCTGTAGTTAGGTGCATTTTGCAGATGAAGAATCCAAGGCACAGAGGCCAAAAAAGCCTCCAAGGTCACCAGAAGGCAAGTGGTAGAGCCAGAATTCAAAGGCAAGCTGTCTGTCACTAAGAGCATGCTTTCCCCCCAGATTACGTTGCCTATTGTTGTCTCAAGATTTTTTTGGGGGGTACCAGGGATCAAACTCCGGACCTTGCGCTTTTGAGGCAGGCACCAGAACCACTGAGCTAAATCCCCAGCCCCTCAAGAGCTTTTTAAACAGGCACTGGGCTGATGTAGAAAAGAAGAACCCCAACCCTTTCTCTGTGCTCTCCTAGCACCGGGCTGACATCTATGAAGCTGCACTGTCACCCACATTACGAGGCCATGAACCACCCAAGAGCCAGAACCTAGTACTCCTTCATTCCCTTCCTGAGGTCCAGAGCTGCCAGTCCTGTGTGCAAAGGTCGTCTTTCTGCACAATTAACGCCATGCTGATGAGCCCCAGAATGGTTTTAAAGATACAGTAATGCCAGCCAAAAGACGCTCAAGCTTCATGGTGTTAAATGTCCCAACAGCTTCATTTTACCTCCTCCTCTTCAACTCTGGAAAGGTGGCTC